CCTTTGTGAACAATGTAGAACTCTACATTGACACAGCAATCACCAAAAGTCACTGTTGCTGGCAAGCAGACATGTACTGGAATTTGGTTTTTCAAATAGCACACCAAGTGAAGCTTGGGTTCAATAAGAGGCATATCTTTAAAGTAATGCAAATAGATAGAATCAGGTAGAAAAAGTTTGGGTTCAGTAAGAGGCACATCTTTAAAGTAATGCAAATAGATGGAATCAGGTAGCATAGATAGTGCTGAACCAGTGTCCAACATTAGCTGAATAGGATGCGGTTTGCCTGAAGGTATGGCAGAAATATTTACAGTGCATCTTACCTGTTCTGGAATATGTGCAGTAGTGACTTTGTCAACACACAGCACAGTAACATCTGATATTGTAACTACATGCACCTGTTGATTGGACCGGCTACTGCAGCACACCTTAGCAAAATGCCCAATCTTTTTGCAATGATTGCACTGAGCTTCTTTTGCAGGACATCTTGTGTAGCTTGCAAGGTGTTGTGGGGATCCACAGCGAAAGCATGCTTTTGCTGTGCTTTGAATTTGCTGATATTGTGGTTTTTCATTAGTTTTCCCTTGTGATTGTTTGTCTGCAGCAATAGTGGACTTTTCTGCAAAGGAGTCACAGCCTGGACTGGGCCTCCTGTATCCATGCTCATTATTTTGGCTTCTGCTATAGCTGACTCAATCTCGGTAGCAATTGTTATTGCTTTTTCCAGTGTAAGTTGTGGTTCTAGAAGCAAGCGTTCCCTTACACAAAGCATGGTTGTTTTCTCAATGAGCTGGTCTCTAATCATCTCATCTGCCATATTCCCAAAGTCACAAGTAACAATCAGACTCCTCAGAGAAGCAATATACTGCCTTATAGTCTCCCCTGGTTTCTGCTCACGCTGGCAAAATCTGTAGCGATTAGCTACTACGTTCACTTTTGGCACAAAAAAGTTCTTTAATGCTGTGAGTGCAGTCTCATATTTATCATCTGCAAGGGGAAAAGTGTAAAATACATGCTGCCCTTCTGCTCCAAGGCAATGGATTAGCAGAGCATGCTTTCTTACTTCAGAAATCTCTGTAGCACTGATTGCAAGCAGATAAGTCTCAAACATATGGATCCAGGCAGTAAAAGAAATTGGAGGCTCACCTGGCCTTTGCAGAAAGGGTGCAGGTGGGTTCAGAGGCAGAAGATCCATCCTCTTCGCCAAAATGTTGTATCATGCAAGCAAGGTAGTAACAAACTTCAACAGGCCTTTATTTAACAAAGGTGAAACCTCTTTACAAAGCTGCTGCTGCTCCACTCTGTAGCTCTCACTCAGGCCTGGCCCATCTCCTCCCCTCTCCTTCCTGTTTCCTGTGCTTCCAGATTCCCAACAGCCAGTGCTCCCAGTTCTAATAATTACAAGCAGCATCTAAAACACCACATTAAGGTAAAGAGCTTATACTTTTTACAATATAGTCCAATGAAGGCAAATGAGGCATGGTGTAGCATCAAAGTACACAGACCTCGTTGAATACCTGCTTGTGATCTCATCCCATCAGCTTGTATTCTGGAGTGAAAGGGGATAAAAATTCCTGACAAGGAGAAACTTGGTCTCTTTATGCTGTGTGTACTCAGATGGGCTAAAATTCCTAAACATAAGCAAGAGATCCTCACATAGTTTGGCATGAGTCAGCTGCTTATTATAGAAGTTATTATTACCTTTTTAAATCTCAGGGTATGTCTAGACTACTTGCCTCTACTGACAGAGGCATGTAAAATTGGCTACCCGACATAATCAATGAAGCGGGGATTTAAATATCCCAACTTCATTAAAATAAAAATGACTGCCGCACTGTGCCGGCTCAGCTGATCATCGGCACTGCGCGTGAATAAAGACACGGATCGGTCGACAGAGGAAGCCTTTGTTGACCGCTCCTGTAAACCTCGTTCCACAAGGCATAACATAGCGGTCGACAAAGGCTTCCCCTGTTGACCAATCCGCGTCTTGACTCACGCGCTGTGCTGACGATCAGCTGAGCGGGCACAGCGCTGTGGCCATTTTTATTTTAATGAAGCTGGGGATATTTAAATCCCCGCTTCATTGACTATGTCAGCTGGGCTATTTTACATGCCCCTGTCAGCAGAGGCATGTAGTCTAGACATATCCTAAGACTGCAATTCATCTTTGTGTGTATATTTCTTGTTTTAACCTTCTAAATGTCTCCCCTTACTTTTTTCCTCAGTTAATAAATGTTTAGTTACTTTATTTCAGAATTAACTATAGGCTTAGTCTTTGGTTTGAGATCTGAGTACAATTGGTCCTTTGGGGCTCAGAAGTGACCATCTATCTCAGGGCTACTCAACACGCAGCCTATGGGCCACATGCGGCCCACAGCCTGTTAGTTTGCAGCCCACAGTGACATTTGGATTTATGCGAGGCTCAACACGAGGCCCGGGGTGGGAGCCAAAACAAAAAAGCAGTCAATATAATGGTCTTCTGTTGATACGTGTTTTAGTAGTTAAATTCCTGGACTGTCATAGCTCATTAAAAGTGCTTTCTTATGGGTGGAATTCCAGTAAATATTGCATTTTATTAATATCAGCAGAACTGACTTAAATGGGGCCTGTGTGTTGTGTAGCCTTGCCTTAAACTTTGTATTCATGCCTTTCCATGTGAAAGAAGCTATCTGCATACATTTGCATATATATTTGCATGTATATGCAACCACACTTAAGTTGCGGCCCTCGGCATGTGCTATGCATATCATTGTG